GCTACCCATCGTCAACGTACTCGACCACGTCCTCAAACTACAGCGCCGCTCTCGAATCTGGTTGTGTCCCACTGCAGCTTTCACGTCCATTCCTCTCCATGCAGCTCACCCGTTTCAAACAAAGGCGGATCGTTCTGGGAAGGAGCCATGCCTGGAGGATCTCTACATTTGTTCTTACACGCCAACACTTTCGGCTCTGATTAGATCTAGACAGTTCATGAAGAAGCGCGTGTCTCCATCTTTTGTGGCTATCGGACAAGGTCAACCGGATGCAGGGAAAGGCAAGGCGCTCTTGGCTGTCGACAGCGAGCTCGAGCTCGTCCATAAACTCGTCCCCGTGATGGCCAATCGCACCACTATTTCTGGAGACGCAGCCACACGAGCAGGTGCACTCTCAGCTTTGGAGCAGAACACCTGGGTGCACCTTGCTTGTCATGGGAAGCAGGACCCTAAGCAGCCTTACGATTCCCATTTCGTCATGAAGGACGAACATCTAACGCTGCTCGATATCATGGAGAAAGATATTCCGCAGGCTGAGTTCGCATTTTTATCGGCTTGTCACACCGCCGTCGGCGACAAGGAGACACCCGACGAAGTGATTCACCTCGCAGCTGGTCTTCAGTTTTCGGGGTTCAAGAGCGTCATTGGCACGTTGTGGGAGGTCGAAGACTCTGTCGCAAAACACGTTGTCGAAGCTTTCTACAAGTACATGTTCGGAGATTTGAAGGATGGTGGTGTCATGGACTGTACGAAGGCGGCCTGGGCACTCAACTGTGCTACGCACTCGGTGAAGACGAAAGTGCCGCTCGAGCAGAGGATGGTTTTTGTTCATATTGGTGTGTAGTTTTATCTCGCATGGCTTTCATCCTAGTTTTCGGTACAGACTTTTATCGTTCATCCCCTTGGCGTACCTAGCCCGTTCCTTGATAGTTGCTGATCCCCCCTTGTGCTACCGTCGACTCTTAGAAGCGTTTTTTGTAACATCATTTATTACTCGAACTTTTAATGTTCTCAGGAATCAATTTGTTATATTATTGGTCTCCGTTGGGGGCATGCAGTCTACCAGGCAGACTACGGGCACTTACTGAGAAAGTTTGCAGCCACTGGTACCCTCAGTCATATCATGTTCAATATTTTGTGTAAGACGAAAATTACTTGATCACTTTGACCGAGTGTCATCGTCAAGGATGCGTTACCTGGTGTTGACCCCACGCTGGACACGGGTACTAAAGCCTAAGGAAGCCGCCGTTTTCGACAACATTAGGGGCACACGGAGTCGTGAATCACGCCAATTTAGTGATACCATGGGAATCATCCACTGATTCCAATAACGCAGGGTGTAGTGAAAAACTTATGAGACCCAGACCGTGCAGCACGCAAGATGCAATAAGCTGACGATCACGAGCCTCAGGTTCTCCATCTTTTTCATGACGCACGTGCATAGTATTTCAAATGCACAATATTATTGCAACTGCCAATGGAATATCATAAGCTATATACACAGGACATGTATACGGAGTACAAGGCAGCAAGCACATTTCAAACAGGCACATCTTCACCGTGTTCTTGAGAAACTTGGTTCCTCAAGTGGATGCATTGCGCAAAGCTCAAAAAACCGCGCTACCTTTCTCCGTACAGAAAATGGCACGTCCCAGACCTTGAGAGACTTCTTTGCGTGCTGAGGGTTTGAATCTTGTTCCTGCATGGCACGGATGAGTTGTCAGGAACAGCCTATATTAACCAACTTACCCAGCCAATCTTCGTGCCATATTCATGAAATCTTCGATATCCTATTAGCATCGTCAGCACTGTGTCGAGTTATCTAGTGTCAGATATCATATCATCACCATCGAGTTCGTACCAAGATATCTTCTCAATCTCCCAAAGGAAGGTCCACCTCTTCATATCCCTCACGGTAGGGACGGGTGCATGCTTGCTGTTAGAGATAGTTGAAACCAGATCATGTTGACTAAAAGGTTGTCAACTTGTAGCCAACGTTGACGACGGGCTGCTGAATCGAGATCGAGAAATTCGATGGCTGCAACAGAGAAAAGTCAGTGATACAGTTGGGTTAGATAGCTGAGATACGCACCGGCAGAGAATAGCTTGAGCAGTGCCTACTGCTCGTCCGTCAACACCAAGGACCACAGACAGATACATCCGGGCGACCCGAATTCTCGAATCATCACGTCGATGCGTTCCTGACAGAATTAGTTATACCGGTACGGCATGAACGGCACAACAATCAAGAACACAGTCGACTGTCTGGACATTCAGAGTTCATGAAATACTGTGTGACGTGTCTTCAGAAGGAATATAATGTATGATTTGAGAGACAATACTTACATCCCCATGATCTATGACCACCAACGCATTCCACTCGATCGCGAGCTAAGCCACCGTCAGAGATGCATCACGGTTTGCGGATGGTACTTACCAAAGCTAGTTTGGCGGTCCCAGGTTACACATCAGCAAGGTATGGAATGTCATTCGCCCGAACGTCAAGCATCGGGCGCTTGAGCATGTCGCAGATCGCATGAGCGACCGTCTTTTTTCCGTTCCTAGGGTCCCTCTCAGGAGGATATTCTATTCTATATAAGTGATATAGGTAAACGAGAGTGATGCAAAAGTGTCGCTTCAAAACGTACCATGCCTTCCAGAACGTTCCCTGGCTGCGGACTGTCAGGAGAGCATCTAGTAGTATCCTATATGGATTGCACGAGATCCTGCAACAAATGGGTTAGCTTGCGAGACAACGATTCCAGAGTTACTACCGCCCGTACCATAGTCTGTTCATATTGATCGTAAGAAGGTTCATCGCAATCCAAACTCTGAAATGTAATGCGTTCCTGGACACAAAGGTTGGTTTGAAGATCAGTAAAACGTGCAACGTGCTTACATGTTTTTTGATGTTATCCTACAAACTAGGTCAAGCGGTTGACCACAAGTGTCTTCATGTTTTCCAAAGGTAGCTTTGGGAGGTGAGCGGTGATGGAAGAACATGTCTAATTGAGTTAAATGGGGAAGGGTTTGATTTGGGTAGACGACAAAGGTCTGATGTCGGTATCAGGGAATCCATGAAAGTTATATGATACAGAAGACAAGCGTAGAGCAGGGTCCATGCAATAATGAGCTCGAGCATGAGTCAAGGAACAACACTATATTGTGAACCGATGGTCATCAAAGACAGGATGTGGAAATATATGATTGTCCTATGGCGCGAGCTGCATGCGAAGTGGTAAAATACTGAATGTAGTGTCGTTCGTACGTACAAGTCACATTCGGCGGGCTTCATACGAAGGTGGATGAGTGAATTTCAATAGCTTGAGTTTCGCGTTTGATTCTGCGCTTTTACTCTGACCAGGTCTGTTGTGTTTTTAGCTATAATGATGCGTACCGGCTAGTCTCGCAATCAACTTGTTTGTGGTAGTATACGCCAGCCTAGCCACGAGCCTATGGGTCATCTGTACATTTGAGTACATTTTAATATGAGGCAAATTGAACGCACAGAGGATGTTCTATTGATGCATATGTGTGATTTTACAAAGTGCTGAGAACGATGGCCGACGATTGAATATTGAATGTTAGCGGGAGAGCCTGTACATGCTAAAGAAGTGGGCAACGTCAAGGTCAGTCATCAGTGAAAGTAGTGCGCCAAGTTTAAAGGGAACATGCGCATCCTGCGAGGCTTGCTACTCCTGGAATTTTCATCGTCGGGTCGTACCATTCACTTATACACATAGTAATGTGAAATGTAAAATCCAGTGTATTTCATGGTACAGACAATATGAACTGCTGAAAGGACGCGCAAAAAAGTGGAAACACCAGCGAGGGTTTGCGAGAGCATGTCAGAAGGGATAGCAGAGTGCAACGGACGATATTATGAGTGACGAAGAACATGATTGATACCTGGAACAACAGTTAGAATGAGCAAAGACTTGAGCTTGAAGTCGCTACACATCTACTATACACATGCAGCGAAGGTGGTCAGCCGCAATGTGGTTTTATTACGCAAAAGCAACAGAAACAAGCCCAAACACCCTTGGACAAGATTCAGAACGCGCACAAAAAAAGACACACCAAAAGTGCCCCTTGCTTTAGAATTCCACGAGGTGCAGTGTCCAGGCGCATGGATGATGAAATGATGTAGTAAGTGTTTCAAAACGTTGAATCGTTGATGTCGGTGGTACTATCACGTCACGTAAGCATACTGAAATGGAAATTTGAATTGGCATCCTTCAACCAAGTCACGGTGGCCGCCTACACGAACCACGAGTCGATATCCATCTTCACCTCATATATATTCGGTGATTCCTTGTACCCCTATATTCCCATCACCTTCAAGACTTCCCTACATGATATGCTGGCCTGCCAATGATATAGTCCCACCTAGTGCTTGGTTTGATATCTGTGGGCAATCCGGCAGCGGTCACAGCTTCCAGAACATTCGTTAATCGTCCTTCACCGAATAAGCATACGATAGGTTGCATCCTCGCCTTTCAAGGGGACATTCTTTTCTCATTCCTTTATCCAGCTGAGATCATCCTCCCTTCGCTATCGGCGCAATTGGATGAGTCGTATAGAATCATTCGGTTCTTAGCGTGACGTCTTCAGTGGTTTTAACATTATTCGCATTACCATACGAAATACACTCGATTCTACATCTTGCCTTGGTGTGCTAACTGAGTAGTACGATACAAGTCCAATCGCTCTGAGACTCGCATCCCCCCTTCGACCTCGGCCGGCCACTTTCACTGAAGACCGGTCGGTGATCTCCATTCCCAGCGCTTAGTGCAATCATACCAGCGTCTATATCGTGCCGAACAGCCCTCGACAATGTGGAAATACACGTGCAGCATGACCTGAACCCTCAACCTCCCTCTCAGCTGAACTCTATCATATCACATTCCCCATATCTTTACCCTCATCCTTCCTTCTCACTGATTCCGTGGCCCATTCAGCCCATCCTCGATCCTCATCGATTTGCTCCATCCACCATCATGCCTGGTACATCAGAAAGTCGATATATCAGACTGGAAGGCGAGTCCCTCCGAATCACCTTCGTATTTGTTGTTGTCCTCACACAATATCTACAGTCATCAGCGGAAAGAATCTTCAGGTCCCCTCCTGGCGCATTCCTGCTGGCATCCACATATCCATCAATGTCGACTCCCGGAGACGCTGGAAATCAGCCATCAGTGTCTTATCATCTGATAAATCTGCAGCATTGGGGAATACTGTCATTCTGTAAACCCCATGGACACTGTCTGACGCGATGCGAGAACTGATCGTCTGTTTATAGATCATCACACTCCTTACCTGCGTTGTCAGTGGAGATCAGGGCGTCCTATGAGCTTGGTCGAATGCTAGGCGGCGGTGAGGTCGTTGCAGGACTTCAAATGTCATGGGATGAGCTACTGGATCATGGAAATGAGCCATTTGGTGAGTGATTCAGTTCTCGTTCATGCACATACATTAACGTCTCGTAGATTTATCCTTCCCACCCATGCGAGGCGTCCACCCTTCCCTTAAGCTGAAGGCTGCCATTGTGCATGCTTGCGATGATCAGGACGACGCACTGATTGATGTGAGTGACACTGGCATTCTGTCCTGTTAGCTTTTGTTGACAGAACACAAACTGCAGTCCCTCGCAGACTGTGAGATTGCTCGACACACAGATGCGGGCCACGCACAATTTGCCGCATACGTGACGAGCAAGACAGTCTCTCACCTGAACGATGCTGTAAAGCATTTTGAGTTAGTTCTAGGACCAGTGTCCGGTCAGCCATCCAGACCATGCAATGGCTCTCACCAACCTTGTGTGGGCCCTGCCTTCAAGGCTACATCCGAAATGATTTTGAAGACATCGATGCCACTACTTCCCTCTTCCATGATGCCCTTGCATTGCGTCCGCAGCCCCATCCCGATCATCCCTTATCTCTATACGATCTCATTCAAGCGCTGATTTGGCGCCACTCCAAGAAAGGTACTGTTGCCGACATCCGGGAAGCCGCCCAACTGTATCATGAACTACTGCCTCTCTGTCCAGAGGGCACCTACCTTCATAGCATCGCGGCAGGGAAGAATGGTGTTGATTATGTGATTAGCAGATGCAACAAACTTCCAATAGACGCATCTGATGAAGGCATCCACTTTCGAAGAGTCGTCCTCGGGCTCTGTCCTCTGGGCCATCAACTCCGTCGGAGAGCCCTCGACAAGCTTGCGCTAGCAGTTAAAGCATGCTTTGGTCAGCACGGCAGCATCGATGATCTTGACACGAGCATACAACTTCGTCGTGAAGCTGTGTCTCTGTGCCCCGAGGGACATGCTGGCCGTGATACCTACTTGAACAATTTGGCCGTCTCACTCGCGTCGCGCTTCAATCATCAAGGCAAACCTAATGACCTCGATGAGGCCATCTCTTTCCACGAAGAAGCATTGCGCCTGCGCCCTGTTGGGCACGAATCTCGTGATTTCTCATTGAACAACCTAGGGGGCGTTCTCGTCCAACGTTTCAACAAATGCGGCGACATTGATGACATCACCCGAGCTATCAGCTTCCGTCGCGAGGCACTGACGTTGTGCCCACCTGGGCATCCACATCTTGACACCACGCTTAACAACCTTGCCCTCGCGCTCAACACCAGATACGACAACACGCATGTTAATGAGGATCTTAACGAGGCGATTGATTTGTATCGCGAATCCCTTCGGTTAGTGCGGCTTGACCATCCAGAGCGCCACAAAACTCTTCTCAATTTGAGCTCAGTGCTCTGCTCTCGTTTCACGCAAACTCAGAATAATGAAGATGTCGAGGAGGCCATTGTTCTTTGCCAACAATCATTGGAGGCTTTGCATTCACTGCACCCAGACAGACACCACTCATATTTAAGGCTACGCGAAGCCTATATGTCTCGTTACTGCGTGCAGTACAAGCCTGCCGATCTAGCACTTGCAGTGGACAACTTCAGACTCGCATCACGACACCCCACTCGTGGCTTTCCACACCGCATCATTTTGGCATATAAGTGGGCCGTTGCAGCAGAGCAGCATGGTGATGGATCCGCACTGGAGGCCTACTCGACATTTTTAGAGCTTCTGGATGCTCATTTGTCAACACGATCGTCGGCAACTTCACGGCGCGAAGCTGCCGCTGCCTTCCATTATGCCAGATCACTGCCTGTAGATGCAGCCTCATGTGCTATACGTCGTGATAATCTACCACGGGCAGTTGAACTTGTGGAGCAGGGCCGTGGCCAGCAGTGGTCGCTGGCATCTCGACTCAGGACTCCAGTTGAAGACCTCGAGTCAGCAAAACCGACACTGGCGCGCAATTATTTGGAGCTGAGCAAGCGCGTTTCCAATGCAGCTCAGAGTTCTGCGACCATCACCGACAGAGCTGCTGCTGATCAGGAAGCAACAGAGTATAGGAGACTTACAAGACAATGGGAAGCCACGGTAGCTGAGATACGTGATGTTCCGGCGTTCTCGCGGTTCCTGCTCCCACTTTTGTATGAAGACCTCCAAGCGGCAGCGCGCCAGGGCCCGGTCATCATCCTCATTGCCAGCCAATACTCATGCAGCGCCATCATCGTCCCCACATCAGGAGACCCCCATCACGCTCCTTTGCCGTCTGTCACCCTTGCAGATCTGACCAATCTCAAGGATAGCTTCGCCAGGGCAATACGAGAAGCATCTCGGATGAACCCAGGGGAGTCGAGGACGGATCTCATAGTGCTCTCGCGGATAATATGGGACCAGATCATGCTACCCATCGTCAACGTACTCGAGCACGTCCTCAAACTAAAGCGTCGCTCTCGAATCTGGTTGTGTCCCACTGCAGCTTTCACGTCTATTCCTCTCCATGCAGCTCATCCGTTTCAAACAAAGGCGGATCGTTCTGGGAAGGAGCCATGCCTGGAGGATCTCTACATTTGCTCTTACACGCCGACACTTTCTGCTCTGATTAGATCTAGACAGTTCATGAAGAAGCGCGCGCCTCCGTCCTTCGTGGCGATCGGACAGGGTCAACCGGGTGCAGGGAAGGGCAAGGCGCTCTTGGCAGTCGAAAGCGAGCTCGAGCTCGTCCATAAGCTCGTCCCCGCGACGGCCAACCGCACCACTATTTCTGGCGACGCAGCCACACGAGCAGGTGCACTCGAAGCCTTGCAGCAGAACACCTGGGTGCACCTTGCTTGTCATGGGAAGCAGGACCCTAAGCAGCCTTACGATTCCCATTTTGTCATGAGAGACGAACATTTGACGCTTCTCGATATCATGGAGAGACATCTTCCGCAGGCCGAGTTCGCGTTCTTATCGGCTTGTCACACTGCTGTGGGCGATGAGGAGACGCCCGACGAAGTGATCCACCTAGCAGCTGGTATTCAGTTTTCGGGGTTCAAGAGCGTCGTTGGCACGTTGTGGGAGGTCGACGACTCTGTCGCAAAACACGTCGTCGAGGCTTTCTACAAGTATATGTTCGGAGATTTGAAGGATGGTGGTGTCATGGACTGTACGAAGGCGGCCTGGGCGCTCAACTGTGCTACGCACTCGGTGAAAACGAAAGTGCCGCTCGAGCAGAGGATGGTTTTTGTTCATATTGGTGTGTAATTCTATGTCGTATTGCTGTCTAGTACATATTCACGTGTTGTTGATCTGCCATTCTCTTTCATCCTGTTGCCCTGATATATATTCTTGCGCTCTTAGACTAGCTATCTTGTTTTCCGTATACTGTTGTTTTTTGTCGACTAGAATGTTCACCAAAGTTCTTGTGTGCTCGACTCGTCTGCAACCTCGTCTTTTACATGAGTACTTAGATAGAGTCGAGGCAGTGAGTCACGCTACATATAGCTCTGTACATCGTCAAATTAACATAGGAGATACTTCAGGCGGAACTTATCAAGGCGTCATCTATGCTCCTGTCAAACATTGGCCCGCCTGCATCCAGCACCAAAATCAATGAACCGACAGCTCGAGGTACCGAGTCCTCCACACGCTAGGATACAGATCTAAAAATCATTGCGTAGACTTATCGTGGTTAGCTATCGTAAACTGCACGAACAATGGTAATCATACGAGTCCTATCCCCCCAGAGTGATCAGAGTCAATGAACCCGGGCTCACAGTGCGCAACGCAATCATTCCTCCCTGTCCATTTGTACACATCAAGTGTCCCCTCTTATAGCCCGTCCTCTTTGTTGGAGGGACGTTGGTATCTCCAGAGGAAGCTGACCGGTGAAAATGAGCTCCGACAACCCAGAGGACGAGGCAAGAGAACTCACGACTTGCCACTCCCATAATACCCTCCTCTTTCCAACCACAATCCACCCCCCATCCACACGCCGAAAATCGCATTCCTTGCATCTTTGATCACAACTAGAGCTCCTTTCGTTGCACCTGGCGTCGAGGGTAATTTGGGTTCACATATGGAATACAGCGTATTCAACGAGATACCGTGGAAGACGAGTGAGTGCTGGAAGGTGGGTACGAATCTGGAAGAGTGTATGAGTGAGTACTGGGTGCATGCACTAAACAAGGATTACGGACGAGATTTGCGATGGGTTCGCTCAGAACTACTGATGTGCCCTCTCTCCTTCCAACAAGATTGAGAACATGGATATTCTTCCCTTTCCCTAGCACGCCCTTTACTTAACTCATTTCCTCGTCCTGGAGTGCGTCTGAGAAGCCCTTATGCCAGATCCGATCGCCTGCGAAACCAGGGGCACCGGATGGTGGAATGTAAGGGTGGGTGGCAAAAGGGGTGCCACGCGTGATGCCAGATGTCTGATGCGCCACATGCATGTGCGTTGGCTGAGGTAGGTTACTAGGTGCTGGATGTACCAAACTTGATGTAGAAGATCCTGTGGATTGTCTAGATCGAGCAGATGGCAGGAACGCCGAGACCCAGGTGGAGGAAAGGCGGGATAACCTGGAGGCGTGGCTGGGGAAGAGGGAAACGACGAGGTTGACGCGGAAGGGATGTTTGCCGATGGAGGCGAGGCCGCTGCGCTGAGACGGGGAGGAGGAGGTTTGCGTATATTCACAGGGGACGCAGAGCTTTACGCTCGTAGTGGGCACAGGCAACTTGTGTGGGGGAGGAGAAGGAGGCTTGACATTCGAATAAGGGAGATAATGGAGGTTGACTGTGCTCCCGAAGAAAATACAAAGGATCATCTTCATCCCCAAGCAACTCATCAAGGACAACGCGTCTATTCTGCTCGGAAGCTGTTTTTGCACTGGAGGGAAACTGATCAAAGTAATGCAAGCTTGCATTCCCAGCGATGGCAGGTCTCTAAGACTTCAGGGCGACAGGCTCCAGCACCGGAAAGTCAAATGAAAGCGGGTCCTGAGAAGCAGGCACCCACCGAATTCGGAGTCTATGCTAGCCGTGCGATTTATGTGGTGCTGCGGGCGACTTGTTGAGGGCTGATCGCGAAAGATAGGTGTTGGAGTTGCCGGGGGCGTTGCGGGGGAGAACAAAGTTGCGAAACGGTCGATCTCAGCTCCGTCGAGTGGGTTGATGCGTGAAAAAATTGGTTGGGGTTGTGCAATTGGCATCTGGTGGGACCGCCGTGTATGATCATGAGAGGGTAGGGGGATCAGCAGTTGGGTGGTCATCGTCATTTCGTTATATGATGGTGTTCTGAGAATCGGATTGTCTCAGCATTCACATTCAACGAGAACGGACATACGTGCAAGTTTATAACATGAGGTGCGAGTTAGCTATGGCCTTTGAGCTGCAAGAAAACCTGATGGACACGATGTAGTTAGTGAAAGTTGGTGTTATAGGAAGCGAGATAGCCGGTTCGTGAACGCTCTTCTAAGGCTGATGACCATTTATTGTATGAAAGCTGCAGTAGACTGACCTGCTCAGTAAATATGACAAGAGTGAGCGCTGAGCTCTGTGCATGCACATTTCATGAGTGGCGTTGCGCTGGATGAATGAGGCCGTTTGCGCACTCATAGAAGTACAGGTGGAATGCGTGTATGCTGAGCGCTGAGATTGTAAACTCCTTAGGTCTCTTTACTCCTGGTGAAGTACAGGTGATACTCACAAAGACTTTCGAAGATAATGAAAAGCAAGCACTAGCTAGGCCGTCCTGGCAAGTCGCGATTGAGTAATAATGAATACGTCACAGCCACCCGGCCATCATGTTTACAGTTTACTAGCCCGCACCAACTGCCGCACGCATTAATACGGCTTTGCAAACTACAAATATCCCAATAGTAATGTGAGTAATGACCGTCTTCAAATACTGGTCTATGTACTACTTGTAGAAGACCTAACTGAAACGCTGCCCCAGAATTACACCTCAAATTGAAGAACCCAAGGTATGTACGAGCTTGGATCGGAGCCCACAGGTCTATTGACAGGTCCAAGATTCTACAGCATCCATCGTGCAAGCTCCGTTTACTCAAGGTGAGTGGTACCTGCCTCGAGGAGTCAGGGTGACTTTCTTGGTGAGGACATTTATATCATAGGCACAGGCAGCCTGAGTGTCCCCTTGCTGGGTCTCTGTCTTCCCATGTTCTGTTCGCACAGGCGCCGACGAAAGATCCGCACGAAAGACTCCATCTCGCTTCCTATTACAAGCAACCATACCCCAGAACTCCCACCAGAAAACGACGCACCCCTCTGCTCAACATGCTCTTCCCTCGACCTCCATGCAATCCTTCACGACGGCGTCCCAGAAAAACACCCAATCCCCATCGGTCACCTCACAGACATCCTTAACAAGTCCAACGAATGCGGACTGTGCAACCTCATAGCTATCGTCATCCGTCGCGCGTGGAACCTGGATAAGCTGCCTCATATCGACATTTCTGATATTACCTGTGCGCTGTATGCGATAGAGTGCGGGTATCCGAACATTCCGGATTATATATCTGCTGTACGCAGGGATATCTGTCATCGGCTGCATATTCAGACCTTTGATAGACCTCGGGATGTTACAGCTGCCATGGTCGCCGCGCAGTCAAACCTCTTGCTGGATATTCAGCTCCTTGGAGAAGATGCTTCCAAGGTTGGGAGGACGAAAGAACTTCATGGCAGGAGGGTTGGTCAGAATGTTGATATCGCCCTGTTGAAGAGATGGATCCACATCTGTGAACGCGAGCATGGGGAGCTATGTGAAACGGTATGGTGGAGGGGTACTGGAGATGTTCTTCCGAAGAGCATGAGAGTCGTGGATGTAACTCGAATGGCCGTGGTTCGCGCTCCGCCATCCTGCCGTTTCGTCGCTCTTAGCTACCTCTGGGGAGGTACGGGAGAAGAGTACTGGACGACACGGGCAAATATCAAGCTGCGCAGAGCACAAGGCGGCCTTGATGTATCAGTGCTACCATCCACGATCTTAGACACCATTCAACTCGTCCGCCAGCTCGGCGAGCGGTACCTTTGGGTTGACGCGTTGTGTATCGTGCAGGATGACCATAAGGACAAAACAGAGCAGATCGGTGTAATGGAGCTTATCTATGGCAGCTCCGCATTCACAATCTTCGCTGCAGGCGGCACCTCCGCGCATGATCCTCTCCCAGGCATCCGCCCAGGGACCAGGAATCCCAAACAACGAATAGCTAAAATACAAGGCCTTCACCTCGCCGTCCCCCTCGTCCTCCCCCGTGAGGCCATAGCAAGCTCTGCATGGGACACACGTGGCTGGACATATCAAGAACTCATGCTCTCGCGCCGCCGCATCTTCTTGACCCCCCATCATGTTCACTTTGAATGCACAGGGGATGTATGGAGCGAAGATGTGATTGCAGAGCGTATCAACCTCCCCTGGCAATCGCACCCCCTGAAGTTCGGCGGTGCAGGTGGATTCACGTCCGTGCGTGCTCCACCGCAGGGGGTGAGTCATATATATACGGGGCACTACATGAGCATCATCGGAAAGTATACGCAACGCAGGCTTACTATGGAATCAGACATCGTGAACGCTGTTACGGCGCTCATCAATGCTATGGCCAAGGGGTTCAAGCTCGCTGGTGGTAACCCTGGTCAAGCATTCCGTTTTGGGATGCCCATCGTTGACCTAGAACTTGCGTTAGTGTGGCAGCCAACGTCCAATACATCATGTGTGCGGCGCGCGACTGGGGATGGAAATATGACGCTGTGGCCATCCTGGTCATGGGCTGCATGGCGGGGTGCTGTCCGGTATAGCGAAGTGAGCTTGTTCGTCGATGCACAGCACGGGGGCTTTTCTCCGTGGATAACCCAGTCACTGGTGGAACAGTGGCACATGGTGGATGATGATGGTCGACTTGTTCCCCAGGATGTTGAACGTACTGGTCGGATGGCAGGATCTGTTGAAGAAGCAAACTCCAGTCCATACGTCATTCCGAAAGGCAATATCGACGCACAAACTCTGATTACAGAGAATGGGCCCCTGCAGCCTGGGACGTTAGTATTCAGAACTCGTTCAGCTCGTTTCAACGTTACGAAAGCAGACGATGTCGTCGGTGCTGATCCCAAGGCTAACTACGCCACATATTCCATACTATCTGACGTTCCTCAACCATCAACGTTAGTAGGGCGCGTCATCCTTCCGCGTTCCACCAATTCACCGACTTCATGTGAATTTATTGTTCTGTCTCGCGCAGACGAAACCAAAGGGTTGTACGATGAGGACACACTGGGGAAACGATATCTCGGATGCATGTTGTATGTGATGGCGGTGCAGAAGATGCAGGATGAAAAACGCATGGAGCGAGTTGGGGTTGGGGTTATATTTGAACATGCTTGGCCGAACTCGACAGGGGAGCAGAAGGTTGTTCTGTTAGGATAGCAGTAAAGACCGGTGAAGTTACTCAAATAGATCGAACTGAACGGGCCCCAGCTGTGGCATCGAGCGTTGATTTAGAAACTACTGAGTATTATAATCATAATCTTAAAATTCCAGTTTTCTGTACAGCTTAGAAGAAGCGCGAGCAAATACCGAAAATCAAATTCCTTGCAAACGTCCCTAATTACATAATACTCTCGATCACCGTCAGCTAACCTTGTTCGAGGATGACATCGATGACGCGACGCGTCGACGTGGTAAAGTGGCCGCCCGCACCACGAGTCGACGTCCATCTATCTGGTGATTCACTGTACATTACATCCCTCCTTCATCGAAGCCCCATTTGGTTCTTCTTACTAGCGTGCCATCTTCAGTGGTTTTAACATTGTTCGCATTACCATGCGAAATATACTCGATTCTGCATCTTGCCATGGTGTGCTAACTGAATAGTACGATGTAAGTCCAATCACTCTGAGACTCGCATCCCCCTTCAACCTCGGCTGGCCACTTTCACTCAAGACTGGTCATGACATTGACATTGTCTATTTTAGATTCTTCCACTAATGTTGGTCGGTGATCTCCATTCCCAGTGCTAATGCAATCATGCCAGCGTCTATATCGTGCCGAACGGCCCTCGACAATATGGAAATACACGTGTAGCATAACCTGAACCCTCGACCTCTCAGCTGAACTCTATCCTCATTCCCCATATCTTTGCCCCCGTCCTCCCTTCTCACTAATTCTGTGGCCCACTCAGCCCATCCTCGACACTCATCAATTTGCTCCATCCACCATTATGCTTGGTAGCTCAGAAAGCCGATATAGACTGGAAGGCGAGTCCCTCCGAACTACTGTATCTGTTATCATCCTCACACAATATCTACAGTCATCAGCGGAAAGAATCTTCGAGTCCCCTCCTGGCGCATCCCTGCTGGCATCTACATATCCATCAATGTCGACTCCAGGAGGCGCTGGAAATCAGCCGTCAGTGTCTTATCATCTGATGAATCTGTAGCTTGGGGGAATACTGTCACTCTGTAAAGTCCATAGATACTTTCTGACGCGATGCGAGAACTGAGTGTCGGTTGATAGATCATCACACTCTTCACCTGCATTGTCGGTGGAGATCAGGGCCTCCTTTGAGCTTGGTAGAATGCTAGGCGGTGGAGAGGTCATCGGCGAGCTTCAAATGTCGTGGGATGAGCTACTTAATCATGGAGATGAGCCATTTGGTGAGTAGTTCGCTTCTCGTTTATGCACATACACTAACGTCTCGTAGATTTATCCTTCCCACCCGTGCGCGGTGTCCACCCTTCCCTCAAACTGAAGGCTACCATTGTTCATGCTTGCGATGATCAGGACGACGCACTGTTTGATGTGAGTGGCGCTGGTATCTGTCCTATTAGCTTTTGCTGACAGAACGCAAATTGCAGTCCCTCGTAGACTGCGAGATTGCTCGAGACACAGATGCGGGCCACGCACAATTTGCCGCATACATGAAGAGCAAGACAGTCTCTCACCTGAACGACGCTGTAGAGCATTTTCAGTTGGTTCTGGACCATTGTCCGGTTAGCCATCCGGACCATGCCACAGCTCTCACCAACCTCGCGTGGGCCCGCCTCCAAGGCTACATCCGGAATGATCTTGAAGACATCGATGCCACCACTTCCCTCTTCCGCGACGCCCTTGCATTGCGTCCGCAGCCCTATCCCGATCATCACTTATCTTTATACAATCTCACCGAAGCGCTGATTTGGCGCCACAAGAAGAAAAGGACTGCTGCCGACATCTGGGAAGCCGCCCGACTTTATCATGAACTACTGCCTCTCTGTCCAGAGGGCACCTACCTTCGTAGCATCGTGGCAGGAAAGAATGGTGTCGACTATGTGATCGGCGGATGCAACAAACTTCCAATAGACGCATCTGATGAAGGTATTCATCTTCGAAGAGTTGTCCTCGAGCTCTGTCCTCTGGGCCATCAACTCCGTCCCAGAGCCCTCAACGAGTTTGCACAAGCACTTCAAACATGCTTTGACCAGCACGGCAGCATCGATGATCTTGACACGAGCATACAGCTTGGTCGTGAAGCCGTGTCTCTGTGCCCCGAGGGACAAGCTGACCGTGATACCTACTTGAACAACTTGGCCGTCTCACTCGCATCGCGCTTCAATCATCAAGGCAAACCTAATGACCTCGATGAGGCCATCTCTTTCCACGAAGGAGTGTTGCACCTGCGCCCTGTTGGGCACAAATATCGTGATTTCTCATTGGACAACCTAGGGAGCGTTCTCGTCCAACGTTTTAACAAACATGGTGACATTGATGACATCACCCGAGCCATCAGCCTCCATCGTGAGGCACTGACGTTGCGCCCACCTGGGCATCAACATCGTGACATCACGCTTAACAACCTGGCCCTCGCACTCGACACCAGATATGACAAATCGCATGTTAGGGAGGATCTAAATGAGGCCATTGATTTATATCGCGAATCCCTTCGGTTAATGCGGCTTGACCATCCAGAGCGCCATAAAATTCTTTTCAATTTGAGCTCCGTGCTCTGCTCTCGGTTCGAGCAAACTCAGAAGAATGAAGATGTCGAGGAGGCCATTGTTCTTTGCCAACAATCATTGGAGGCTTTGCATTCACTGCACCCAGACAGACACCACTCATATTTCATGCTACAGGAAGCCTATATGTCTCGTTACTGCGTGCAGTACAAGCCTGCCGATCTGGCGCTTGCAGTGGACAACTTCAGACTCGCATCACGACACCCCACTCATGGCTTTCCGAACCGCATCATACAGGCATATGAGTGGGCCTGTTGCAGCAGAGCAGCATGGTGATGGATCCGCACTGGAAGCCTACTCGACATTTTTAGAGCTTCTGGATGCTCATTTGTCAACACGATCGTCGGCAACTTCACGGCGCGAAGCTGCCGCTGCCTTCCAATATGCCAGATCACTGCCTGTAGATGCAGCCGCATGTGCTATACGTCATGATAATCTACCACGGGCAGTTGAACTTGTGGAGCAGGGCCGTGGCCAGCAGTGGTCGCTGGCATCTCGACTCAGGACTCCAGTTGAAGACCTCGAGTCGGCAAAACCGACACTAGCGCGCAATTATGTAGAGCTGAGCAAACTCATTTCCAATGCAGCACAGAATTCTGCAACCATCACCGACAGAGCTGCTGCTGATCGGGAAGCAACAGAGTATAGGAGACTTACAAGGCAATGGGAAGCCGCGGTAGCTGAGATACGCAATCTTCCAGCGTTCTCGCGGTTCCTGCTTCCACCTTCATATGAAGACCTCCAAGCGGCAGCGCGCCAGGGACCGGTCATCATCCTCGTTGCAAGTGAATACTCATGCAGCGCCATCATCGTCCCGACGTCAGGGGAACCCTATCATGTTCCTTTGCCGTCTGTCACCCTTGCAGATCTGACCAATATCAAGGACCGCTTCGCCAGGGCAATACGAGATTCATCTCGAATGAACCCAGGGGAGTCGAGGACGGATCTAATAGTTCTCTCACGGATAATATGGGACCAGATCATGCTACCCATCGTCAACGTCCTCGAGCATGTTCTCAAACTAAAGCGCCGCTCTCGAATCTGGTTGTGTCCCACTGCAGCTTTCACGTCTATTCCTCTCCATGCAGCTCATCCGTTTCAAACAAAGGCGGATCGTTCTGGGAAGGAGCCATGCCTGGAGGATCTCTACATCTGCTCATACACGCCGACACTTTCTGCTCTGATCAGATCTAGACAGTTGATGAAGAAGCGCGTGTCTCCGTCCTTTGTGGCGATCGGACAGGGTCAACCGGGTGCAGGGAAGGGCAAGGCGCTCTTGACTGTCGACAGCGAGCTGGAGCTTGTCCATAAGCTCGTCCCTGCGACGGCCAACCGCACCACTGTTTCTGGCGACAAAGCCACACGAGCAGGTGCACTCTCAGCTTTGCAGCAGAACATCTGGGTGCACCTTGCTTGTCATGGGAAGCAGGACCCTAAGCAGCCTTACGATTCCCATTTTGTCATGAGAGACGAACATTTGACGCTGCTCGATATCATGGAGAGACATATTCCGCAGGCCGAATTCGCGTTCTTGTCGGCGTGTCATACCGCCGTTGGTGACGAGGAGACACCCGACGAAGTGATTCACCTCGCAGCTGGTATTCAGTTTTCGGGGTTCAAGAGCGTCGTTGGCACGTTGTGGGAGGTCGACGACTCTGTCGCAAAGCACGTCGTCGAATCTTTCTACACATACATGTTCAGAGATTTGAAGGATGGTGGTGTCATGGACTGTACGAAGGCGGCCTGGGCGCTCAACTGTGCTACGCACTCGGTGAAAACGAAAGTGCCGCTCGAGCAGAGGATGGTTTTTGTTCATATTGGTGTGTAATCCTATGTCGTATTGCTGTCTAGTACATATTCACGTGTTGTTGATCTGCCATTTTCTTTCATCCTGTTGTACAAATGACCCTGATATATATTCTTGCGCTCTAGCTATCTTGTTTTCGTATATATACTCTGTTGTTTTTTGTCGACTAGGATGTTCACCAAAGTTCTTATGTGCTCGACTCGTCTGCAACCTTGTCTTTTACATGAGTACTCAGATAGAGTCGAGGCAATGAGTCACGGTGTAGCTCTGTACATTGTGAGATTAGCATAGGAGATACGCCGAGCGGAACCTATCAAAGTGTCGTCTATGCTCCTGTCAACCATTGGTCCGCCTACATCCAGCACTAAAATCAATGAATGACATTGCAAGGCTTGGCAGCTGAGAGCCACAAGTGAAAGGGACACATTTCCTATGTTGGATCACTCGAGGTACCGAGCCCTCCGCAAGCTAGGATACAAATCTAAAAATTGTTGCGCAGACTTATCGTGGTTAGCTATCATAAACACAAACTGTACGAAAAATGGTAATCATATGAGTCCTATCCCCCAGAGTGGTCAGAGCCAGGATACTCTGCTATAGCCTTCTCTGTCGAAGAGCGTGCTGCAATATCTGCGTGAGTGCTAGCGTGGCTACAATGAATGAGCAACGGGAGAGTTGAACGATCCTGCCCAACAGCCTTCCAATATTCTGACGGATTATTGAAATCCCGAAGCATCATCTCCTGCGGTTGACAGTCCTTGTGTCCACATATGACAACCAGTTGAGGGCGACCCTATGTCAATGAATACCCTGCCGATGGATCTCATCGATCGCAACATTATCCTGTCCAAACATGAGCATGAAAAACGACAACAAAAGATACAAAACGAACGCCCAAAACAGTTTTAGTATTTTCATCCATTTTATCACTGAGCTCTTTGATGTCGTGCTTCAGCCCAGCATTTTCCCGCCTCAGCTCTTCGATGTTGGACTTCAGCCCAGCAAGCTCTTTGACGTCGTGCTTCAGCTCAGCATTTTCGCGCCTCAGCTCAGCTATGTCACGCCCAAT